CGAATCTGGCTTGCCCATCAGGTCTTTTCCAATCTCAAGCATGAGTTTGAATTCTTCAAAATTAATACCACCTTTAGCAAAGACAAAGAAAGCTTCTATGATGACAACTATTTCCATGTGTATAAATCTTTTGGGTATTACATAATTGTATCCAGCCCCATAGAAAACCAATGAACATTTTAAAATAAACATTCATAGACGATATTATAAATATATAACTACTGTATTATATATATATGATCCCCAACTAAATAATTATTTCATATCAGGAAATACATTATTTGCATCAATATATATATATATATATATATGCAGGTATTTTTACATAATACAAACGTTTACAATAATTCAGACTGTACCTGTTTCTTTAATTTCTCTTTCAATGTGGTCAAGCTTTTCACTGGTGCTATTGAAGGATTTATGCGAGGTAAAAGATTCTGCAGAAACTTGTTGAATATCTGGGTCATTTTCTATAGACACCTGGTCAGAAGCATTATTTGTATTATCTTGTGTAGCAGAATCAGAATGAATTCTCTTTTTCTTCTTTGTCTTGGTTCTTTTTCCTTTGATAACATTTTCTTGATTCATTTCTTCTTTTTTACACATTGTATCTGTTCCTTTCCCAGTCTGTAACGATGAATGGTTTACATCATCTTCGTCATCTTGTTTTGTTTCTGTCTCGGGTGGTTCTTTTCTACTTGAAGACTTCTCTTTCTCCATGGCTTGAGCAGTGAGTTCTTTTTCCTTCTGGAACTTCTTTTCTGCTTTTTTCAACAGCTTTGTGAAAAATAAATGAACGTTCAAATAACAAATATGAGTGGAAAGATTAACGTAAATTACATAAAACTAGTTTTTTTACAGAAAGCCTTTGAAATAAGCTAAATATAAACACCGTTTTACAGAGCTGTTGACAATTGTAACAACGGTTTTGGCACTGGAACAACAAACTAGGAGTAAGTGCAAGTTTCTGAACTGCAAACACTACTACAATTAACAAATCAATTACCTGTTTTTTTCACGCTTTCATCTATTTTAATTATACATGTTATTTTACACGTTGTACGAAGACTAGATATCAGACTCGATAAAAGCTTATTAATGTGCCACAGAATATGAATTGCAGAACAAGGTGATTATTGGAACATCAAAGTTAAAAACTTCAGGCTGATGGAAAGGTTGATAAACGTCACCAATTTGTACGTATTTAAACCTTGGGTCCAGATGATAAATACGATTAAGCAAAAACAAGTACATAATTTCGAGATATTTTCTAGAACCATAGAAAACATAATAATATCACTAGTTATATTTCTGAAAAAAAACTCTCAAAATGACTTTGGTCAATATACATTTTAAACTTAAAATTGTTTCGCAAGAAAAATATAAAAGTAAGTGTTAATAAAAAGAGAGGTACACTTGTGAAATTTGGCATTTATATTTAGCCTAGCATTAATTTCATACGTTTTTATGAGGATGGTGAGAAAGTGTGTGTGTGTTGTTTTTTTTTTGCCATGCTAGTTTAGCGAATAATGTTCCATACTCGGCATCTAATGGCACTTTAACTTGGCATTTATATAATAAAACTTAGAAGGCTTCAAAACTCAAACATCAATACAACTGCTTATACATTTAAAACTTAATCTTTGGACCAATTCAGTTCCTCTAGCAAATTTCAATGAAATTATTTCAGCCAGTTACTCACAACTTGTAACATCAAGACACCTGGAAGATCCATGGACAACTCTGTTTGATATATAAGTATGCAGCTAACAGTTAAGCATTATGTAAAAATAAGTTATTAAAATCATACATAAACATCAAAAGCATTTTAGATATCAAATCAAACTATATATGTTATTTTTTTTCTTCGATAAACATTGTCTGAATTTTGTAAATATTTACTTCATTGGGTCAACTCTGTATAAGTATATCGATTGCATTACAAGGAAAAAAAAATTGTATTAATTGTACTTCATCATGCTAATTTACACAAATTTTGCTCCAGTTCGCACCAACACGATGAAATAAGCACTTAAACTGCACATTGATAATGTACAAGTAAGATACATTATTCTGAAAGTAAATTCTGAAGTAACTGAAAACACTTGAATGTTGATTGGTTTTAAACGTACTAAAATAAACTGTTGAGAAATACGAGTAAAAGAAATAAGACAGGAAACATACTTTTAATCTCCAGGCTCTCTCCTTCTCTTCGGTAGTTTCTGTGTGACGTGACTGTAAGGTCAACATGATTTTTAGTAATGTGGTACAAGAATCATGTTTATACATTAATAAAACTTACTGTATTATTATAAGTCAGGTTAGTGAAATTTTATTACATATAATGTAAAAAAAATAGTGGCATAGTTAAAAGATCTAAACATTTATAAATATAAGTTCAAGATTTGAAAAATATTGCTTAGAATTACTTGATATGTTTTATTTACCAATTATATACAATATGTGCCTAGTTTGTCACACTTTGTTTATTTTCTCTATTGTCGGATTTTCTATATTCCTCTTACGGAATTGTTTTGGCTAGTATGACACATTTTACCTATTAGATAAACTGTTTGGTTGGTATGACACATTTTACCTATTAGATGTACTGTTTGGCTGGTATGACACATTTTACCTATTAGATGTACTGTTTGGCTAACAGTGCATCTAATAGGTAAAATGTGTCATACCAGCCAAACAGTGCATCTAATAGGTAAAATGTGTCATACCAATGCTGTTATGACACATTTTACCTAATAGATGCACTGTTTGGCTGGTATGACACATTTTACCTAATAGATGCACTGTTTGGTTGGTATGACACATTTTACCTATTAGATGCACTGTTTCACTGGTATGACACATTTTACCTATTAGATGCACTGTATGGCTGGTATGACACATTTTACCTATTAGATGCACTGTTTGGCTGGTATGACACATTTTACCTATTAGATGCACTGTATGGCTGGTATG